GATGTGGTACATATACACAATGGAATATTATTCAGCCATAAAAAGAAAAGAAATTCTGCCATTTGCAACAACATGGATAGAGCTAGAGGGTATTATGCTCAGTGAAATAATCCAGGCAGAGAAAGACAAACACCACATGATTTCATTTATTTGTGGAGTATAAAAACAAAGCAAAAAAGAAAGAACAAAACAGCAGTAAACTCATAGACACCAAGAAGGGACTAGTGGTTACCAAGGAGAAAAGAGTGGGGCAGGGTGGGGAGAACGTGAAGAGGATTAAGGGGCACAGTAATTCACAATCACAATATAGGTTGGTCACAGGGACTGTAGTATAGCATGGAGAATACAGTTAATGATTCTGTAACATCTTACTATGTTGATACATACTGACTGCACTAGAGGGGTGAGAATTTAATAATATGGGTAACGGTTGGACCACTGTATTGTATATTTGAAACCAGCATAAGATTGTATGTCAATGATGTTTAATAAAATAAAAAATTTTTTAAGAATATAACGTGATCTACACATGTAATTTAAAATTTTCCAGTAGGCCCATAAATAGTTTTTAAAAAAAAAAAGGCAAAACAAATGCAGGCTATTCATCCTGGCTCACAAAGCCCTACATTATAACATGGGCCTACCTCTCCAGGCAACCCTAATACCGTTCCTGCCTCCCAGAATCTTACAGTCACATGGGCATCTTTTATCCTTTCAACTTACCAAGTTCATTCCTACCTCAAGGCCTTTATCAAGCTGTTTATCACTGCCTCATGGTTCCTGTTGATGATTTGCTATTGTCTGTCCTCCTTACTAAAATTCAGGCTCCCTGCAAGCAGGAAGCTTATCTCTCTTGTTCATAATACTAAGTAAATGCTCTGTCTTGTACTATAGACTAGGGCCCAGAATGGTGCCTGGCATGTAATAGGTTGAGTGAATGAATGAATGAATGAATGAGGAACAAGTGAACTAGATGGGGTTCTGAAGGAAGTGGACTATCAAGAGGTGGCCACTGGGTCACATGGGGTTCTCACGGGTTGGGGTGGACTCCCTTGTGCGGTGACATGGAGTCCTGGGTTTTCCATTGGTGGCAGGGAATACTTGTAGCCCCCAGTTCCTGGTCCCTCTGAGTTAGGGTCATTCCAACTGTTTCTGGGGCCAGTCTCTATGTAACCACACCCCTGCCCCCATCACCAGCACCATTAAGCAGTGACCAAGAGCTCAGTGCACAGTATTGTGCCAAGACTTATGTTGGGAAATAAGGTCATAGAGTGACCACCACTTCCTCCCAGCAGGTGTTATCCCCCAACTCCGCTCTGGCTCATTGGGAGGTGGTCTATGGTGGGGGAGAAAGGAGTCCCCTTGTCTTGGAACTGCAAGGAAGGGCAACACTCTCCAAGCCAGGGAAAGGGGTACTTTACAACCTGAGAAGAGCTCTCCGTGTCCCAGTTCACAAGAAAAGGGAGATGAGCAGGAGCTCACCAGGTCACCAAGAGTTTAGATCCCTAGGTGTCAGCTCAGCCTTAGAGCAAAGCCACCTATGAAGATGTGTTCAGTTTGTAACCAGTCACTGTGCTACATGCTTACAATATGTGCACTTTCCTATATGTATGTCACATATTTATTATATATTTACAACCTGCACGCCTGGACCCCCTTCCACAGGTTCTGCTTTAGAATGTCTAGGATATGTCCCAGGCACCTACATAAGTTTTAATTTCCCCTATGGTTCTCATTAGCATATATAGTTAAGAGCTATTGATAAGGAGTGATGGGGACCCTTGAGCAAGCACGTGAAGGAGGGTGGGGGTGTAGGTAAGGGGGAAGGATGCTGAGACAGGGCTTCTGTCACACTCAGGAAAATTAAGTTCCAGAAAGTCCAACACATTATTAGGTTAATACACATAAAACCTCTGGGTGTCAAGAAACAAAAAACACCAAAGCCAGCATTAAAAAAAATGTTAAGAAGCAGGTAACTGGGGAAAAATTATAGCAAAGGGTTAATAGCCTTCATATTTATAAAGAACTCTTGCAGATCACTAAGAAGATGAGCAACCAACAGAAAAATAGAGCACAGACAGGAACAGGCAATTCAAAAAGAAGAAATACAATGGGCCATGAAGCTTAGGAAAAGTGGCCAGCCAGCCTCACCAGAAGTCAAATCACTGCAAATTAAAACAACAGAGAGGTTACCTTTGCAGAGCAGCGAGTTAGCAAAGATTAAATACATGATAATATCTAGTGCTGGGAGGGGAGGGTGAGGGGGGAACAGGCTCTGTCATTACTGGTGGGAGTGCAATACAACTGGTGCAACCTTTCCAGGAGGCAATTTGGCAACAGGTAAGGCTGAGGAAGCTTGCTTCCCCTCTTGACGCAGCAATTCCACTTTTAGGAAGATTGCCTTAGGAAATAATTGTGGATAATAATAACAGTCATAGCTAACCTTTATTAAATGCTCTCTACCTGCCAGGCTCTACACCCATGTAATCCTCGCAGCCATCTTCCCGGGAGGTAGGGGCTGATATTATCTCCTGTGTTTTACAGATGAAGAAATTGAGGCACAGAAGGATTAAGTCAATGACCTGAGGACACAAAACTAACAAGCAGCAAAGCCTAGATTTGAACCTAGGCAGTCTGAGTGAAGGGCCACACTGCCCTTACAGTGGTATATGCTGGATGTATGCACAGGATATACAATGGAGGACGCTGCAAGGATGTTGTGGCTCTGGGCCTGTTTGTAATGCAGGGGTGGTGGAAGGGACAAAGACATGCTGAATGCCCCCATGAGAGGAACCGATTATATAAATTGCCATACACCTATATAGAAATATCATGCAGCCATGAAGATTGGTGGTTGAGCGGAAAAAATCTGCATGTGGATACTAGGGTTTTTGGTATACGCATAAAAGATCTCTGAAAGGATATAAAAGGAACTAGTAGAATTCATTGCCTCCTGAAACAGCGACTGTATGGCTGTGGTCAGAAGTTAGAGGGAGACTTGTTTTTAAGCCCTCTACCCTTTTCCATTTCTTGAATTTTGAATTATGTGAATATATTATCTACTAAAATATGCATACATCTATAAGTATATACTCATATAAGTTATGTTACAGAACTTACCCATATAACTTTTATTTCCTTGAAATCCTACTAAGCGTTCCAAGAAAAAAGTGCCAAAAGCCCTTACTTGAAGAATCATACTAAAATCAACAAAGATACTTCTTTAACTGTTTACAAACTGATTTGCTAATGGAGCCCTTTTCTCAAGTAATATCTATTATCATCTCTCTGGATCTTCCTGTCCTTTAGAATTCAGTTTGGGGAATACTATTATTAATATTTAATGTTAAGGTGAAAGGCTTACATTGTTTTATTAAATGAAAGAAACATGTTACTGCCAGTGATCCCATTTGTTTAAAAATGTGTGTGTGTGTGTGTGTGTGTGTGTGTGTGTGTGTGTGTGTGTTATTTCTGAGCACTGGGACAGTGGATGATTTTGTGTTCTTTTATCCATCTGTATTTTAAATTTTTCTAAAATGAATTAAATCATTTCACAAGCACTGTTTTCTGAGTTTATGCAATCTAGTTTTTAGGGCTTTAGGGACCCTGCACCCCACTCCCATCTACTCCCTACTCACAAGCAGCAGCTCAGAGTCAGGGACCCCATTTATCAACAGGCCCTTTCATCTGCCGTTACCCAGAGCCAGCTTGGGTCTGTTGCTCTGAACTGCTGAGAGAAGGACTGAGGGCCTAAATGGGGCCAGCGAGGCCCCCAGACAACTCCCTGGCCCCAGAAGACCCTCCCTTCTGCTGTTGGGAGGATTTCAGCTAGGTTCTCAGTGCCTCAAAGAGAAACACTGAGACTGGAAAAGCAGACACCAGCCTGCTACAAGCCTGGCACACTGCAAATGCAGATTCCTGGGCTTTGGTCCCAGCTCTGTGGCTGCCTGGCTGTGTGACCTTGGTCAAATATCTTAATGTCTCTGAGTGTCATCTTCAGCATCTATGTCAGCAATAACACTTGCCTTACAGAGGAGCTCAGGGACCAAAGGAGAGTGTGCATGAAGGCACCGCATGTCCTCTAGAGGGCTGTCCCGGTGGGAAGTATTACGTACCCCAGCAGGGAGCACGGGCTGGTCCTCACATTCCTGACAACAGAGTACTTATTTTTCTATTTTGTAAGGTTGTTGTGGGGAGAGGAGCAATGAAGTATGGGGACCTGGGCATGTGGAAACAGAAAGGTGTTTAAGAAAAATGGGTGAAGCCTCTCAGCTCAGCATTTGCAGCCCTGGGCCTGTACCCACCTGAGTAGCCCCATGCTTTGTCCCCCACAAAGCCACTCTACGTGACTTGAAAAAGTCATCCCACCCCACTAGACCACATGTGACTCTCTGAGGCCACTGCGCTGACCGCCTGGCCCACCTCCCTCCCTTCTCCTTCTAGCCCCACCCTTTGCTCTTAGCTGAGTTCGCTCCTGTCCAGCCTGGACTGGGTGGCCCCTCAGGGCTTCAGCACCCCCAAGCCTTCACGAACTGTGCTGTGCCAGCATCCCTGCCAGACTGAAATTCCTGAAGGCAGGAGCTGTCACTCTCGTCTCGGTTTGCCTGTGTCCCCTGGGCCCAACATAGCCTGGGGAGCTGGGACAGGAATTAGATTAGGAACACTGAAGTCGAGGACACCTCAGTTTGCATCCCAGATCCATCACCTTGCACCATTCTGAGCCTCAGTTTTCCCCATCTGTAAATGGGCTTAACCACTGCAGTGAGCTCCTTTTCATAAGCTAATGCATTTAAAGCTCTCGTACCACTCCATAGGCAGTCACCATATTGACATCATTGCAGACCCTCTGTGAATGCTTATTGAATTAAACTAGGAGGCAGCCCCAGAAGGGTGGCAGCCCAGGCTCACTCCACCCAGGAGAGGGGCCTTTCCTTGACTTCTCATGCTTGGCACTGCCCCCACCCCCACCACGCTCACCTCCTTGCCTGGTTCCCCCACAGCCACGCGGCCCAAGCTGAAGAAGATGAAGAGCCAGACGGGACAGGTGGGCGAGAAGCAGTCACTGAAGTGTGAGGCAGCAGCGGGCAATCCCCAGCCCTCCTACCGCTGGTTCAAGGATGGCAAGGAGCTGAACCGCAGCCGTGACATCCGCATCAAGTATGGCAACGGCAGGTGAGCAATATCCACCCCTGCCTCATTCACCCAGCTGCCCCTCCGTCCTGAGCTGGGCCGAAGCCAGGACTGTCCCCCTACGGCCACCCATGGAACCAGTTCTGGTCCGCTTCCTTGCCACACCCAACTTCTCCTGGCAGCTCTGAGCCTGTCTGGTTCTGCTGGCCCGGTGTCCTGCACTATGGATGCTTCGTTAATGTCTCTGGTTGGCTCAAGGCAATTTGATTGTTAGATCAGCTTTATCTGTGGAAGTCCCCTCTTATTCCTAAAACTTCTCAAGGAACCTGCCACAGTGTGCGAAAACCCCCCACTTGGAAATCTCTGGTGACAGAGTCTCATTCCAGAATGCATCTGGGAGGTCACGCATGAGGGTGGGCTGGCCTCTGAGCACAGCAAGCGGCCACTAGGCAGAGAGCTAGGGGAGGGCACATGGCTGTGCCTGCTCTCAGGGGAGCCTGTATCTCAGGGTCCCCCTTGACAAGGGAATTGTCTTTAATCTTGGAGTCAACACTCCAGGAAAGACAGTTGGAAGCTCTACGGTCTCTGAGCTGTGGGAGATGGGCTTTCTTCCATCTTGGGTTGGCGGGGCAAGGGGCTTCAGGTGCCAGAGAAGCTGAGAGTCCAAGGGCAGCCCCTCCTTCTCTCCTGCCTCTCATACCCCTGAGGTGCCGTCAGAGGGCAGGACAAGGAAGAGGCTCCCATCTGCTAGCCGAACAGAAGTGCTGCGTGACCTCTGCCCTGTCAGCCCAGAGGCCTAGGCAAGCTTTCCTCCCTGGCTGAGGGGCCCTCCAGTCTTTCCAGTCCCTCCAGAGGAGCTCACAGCCACCCTCTTCCTGGCTGTCATTTCCCCCTTCACCCACCACCACGCACCAAATACAAGTGAAGATGACCCACCTGCCCTACAACGGAAAGGAATGGAAGAGGGCCTGGGCTCAGGCTGCTCCCGTCCGCTGTGTGGCCCTGGGTCATGCCCCTGGGCCTGACTCCCGGGTACCCATGAAAGACGGTAGGGGGTCATGGGTCAGATTTTCTGACACTCTTTCCAAGAGCGGGGAACAAAGACAAAACTGGGCACCCTGAAAAGTGGTCCAGAGAGAAAACAGAAAGCAATTTAAGAGCAGTTTGGTTTAGATCAAAGGCTTATGGCTGAAAGAAAGCTACCTCCCAAGAGAATGCTGGGGGAGGGGTCCGGTGAGTCCCTGGCCTACAGAGTTAGCAGGACATGCAGTTTGCCCACCAAGCCTCCCTGAGGCCCCCCCACCCCTTCTTCACACTGCCCTGCCAAGGCCGGCTGCAAACTGGAGAGAAGAAAGGACAGGCTTCTTTCAGGACTGCTCCTGGGGCTGCTGCCTCCCTTCTGTCCTCTCCTTTTGGGAGACGGCCTCTCCCCCTGCTTTGCTGAGACCGCAGGGGTCAGGGAAGGGTCCTCTGGACCCTCCTCCTCACTCTTGAGCCCATCCGCAGCTTGCCCATCCTCATCCCCCAGTCCTGGTCCCCAGCTGCCCTCACATTCACCCGCACGCTCTGCTCGCACAGGCACGCACACACTCTCAGAGCCCTGGGGCCACTAACAAACCCCTTTCTCTGGCAACTGCAGCCTCTCTGTCCGCCACCAAACCTACTCACAGCCCTTCTCTTCTGAAGGCCTTTCCTCGTGTTGCTGTGCCCGTCTGTCCACCATCTGCTGCCCCATCTTCCTCCTCCACCACCACTTGAGATTGGTTTCATGCCTGCTGAGCCCGCTCTCCCGTCGCCCCCTCCACTCTGCTCTGCTGGAATCTGCCCTGTGGATGCCCTGTGGAAGCTCCCTGTGGTCGTGGCTCTTGAGAGATCCTGCGATCTGCAGCCACTGGCATGGGTGCCACCTGCTCCCTTGCCCCTGGGTTCCTCCTCCGGGACCTTCTGTGCCTCTAATCGCTCTCTCAGTTGCCATCAATGCTGGAACATTCCTGTCTTACGGGCCTCACTCCTCTTCCCCCGCCCTCTCCACCTTGGGTGATTTCACCCTGTCATATCTCATGACCTCAAGACTCCATCTCTAGTTTGATGACATTTTTGAACCTGAGTCCCAGACCCATGCTGCCAGGTAAACACTAGATAGCACCCCTGAGATGCCCAACAGACACCTCTAATCCAGAATGGAATCCAGAAGCTTTCTCTTTTGCCCTCTCTGGCCCTGCGTGCCCTCGGCGCTCCCCTCTCAGCTGCGGCCAAACCAGCACCTGCGCCGTGGGTCCCCTGCAGTTGAATACTGTGTCTCTTCTCCACATTTCATCTCTGTGCTCTTACCTCTACCCTCCTTTGCTCCGCTGTCCCACTCGTGGCCATCCCCACCTTTTCTGGGCCACAGGCCATGAATTGTGAATTCATTCCTGTATCTACAATAAGCATGTTGAGCATGAACTGTGTGCCAGGCTGCAGATACACCAGAGAAGGGAACAGATGTGGTCCATACCTTCATGGAGTTCCTAGTCTAGCTTCTCCTATAGAATCTGGTAAAGGTTTCAGCCCTTTCTTTGGAAAAAATGTGCCTTATCCACCCAGTTTTACTCACAGTTCTACAGGTCCACAGACGCCTGTGACTCTGCCAGGATGATGTTTCTAACATGGGCACATATCCGATCATTCATTCATTTACTTGACAGATCTTAAGAGCCTGCTGTGTGCCAGGTACAGCCCAGGCCTTGGGGCCCTTCCGACTCTCCTGACCTATAAGTCATCGCCCTGCTGTTCCCCAGCCCTTCAGTGCTCCCGATCCCTGCTCTTTCCTTCACGACCATGGACTTTGGCCCAGGCTGTTCCTTGTGCTGGCAGCTCCCTCCACCCCCACCCTTGTCCCTGGCAAAGTTCTCCAAGGCCCAGCTTAAATGTCATATTCCCTGGGACACCTTCCTGAGCCCTCCAGGCAGCTGCCATCATCTCCTCTCCTGGTGCCTTAGACACGGTTTTATTGCATTATTGGGGGGTTGTCGTTCCTTCTAGCATGAAACAGACTCGAAGGCTGGGCCTCGCAGATGCACCGTTCGCCTGTGTATGCCCTGGCAGAGAGCTGCATTCAGTGCTGAACTGATGAGACTCTTGCAGGACTAGCTCTCCTCTCCCAAGTGCAGAGTGACATTGGGACTGGGCCACATGCCCTTTGGGTGGACCCAGCCTTTAACCAAGTTACTGTCCTGATGAAGCTTCAGTTTCATATGACAAATGGGTCACCCAGTCTAGAAATGGCTCATTCATGTCTTCCCCTCCTGGGTATGGGAGATTCCAAGAGCCTGAAATGTGTCCCCTACCCCTTCTTGTCACAGTGCTGTCCCATTTGTGGCCTTTCTGAAGCTTCTTGCTCCCGATCCTGCCCATGGGCTCCCAGCGGTACGTTGCTGGTGTGCAGAGCAAGCTGTGGTAGGGAACTTCCAATTCCCTTACTGTGATTCAAAGCTGCCACCTCCATACCATGTCTCGCTGGCATGGGGCAGGGGCAGGGGCAGGAGCCTCCTCTCTGGCACAGTCTTCTCCTTCCTTCTGCCCACCTGCAGCTTGCCCTCCGGCCCTCCTAGCGCTCCATCTGCTCGGGCCACTCTCCAGCTCACACTGCTCTTGGCCTGCAGAGGCCCCCTCCCTGGCCCTCGCCGTCTGCCTCTGGGGCCGCTGCACCGAGGTGTCTTGCCCAAGCTTTCCTGTGCCAGCAGAAAACTGCACCCCCTCACAACCCTGGGCACAGGGCCCTCCCCTGCAGAACCGCGTGTTCCCTTATTTATGAGGGGCAGGCTGGAGCAGGCCCCTCCGGCAGGCAACAGGAGGGAGGGGCTGGGGAAATGTGCAGAGGGGTGGAGCACAGACGTGGCTGCTCAGATCCGTCCCTGCCAGCAGAAAACTGGCTGAGGAAGGAGGGGAGGGGCATCTGCCACAGGGGCAGGCCTGGGTCAGCATGGCAAGGGGGCACCAGGCCTGCCAAGAAGGCAGGAGGGAGTCCTGAATCCGAGGCCCTTCCCACTGGAGCTGGGAGTGCGGAGAACAGAGTGCAGTGGTCCTGCTCTTTCAGGGCCAGAGAGACCCAGAGGCCTCACCCTGCAGCTCTGACCCAGGGCCTCTTCTGCAAGTCTGCGGCCCACCTCCTGGAACCAGCCAGATCAGCACGGCGCCTGCAGCTGGTAGCACTAGGGGTCCTTGTTCCCCTCCCCTGGCCTCTTGTTGCTTCCAGAGGGCTTCCTTCTAGTTCTAGCCTTTATCCCTCCAGGTATCCATGAGCCTAGCTCAGCAATGCCCTGCTACGTACGGTACCATGTCAGGGGAGCCCCTTTGAATGCAGCTGTGGTCAACGAGGAGGCTATGGCTCTGGTTCCCTGCATCATGCCCCTGTGGCCCTCAGCTGACCCCCTGCTCCGCTCCTCCAGTGTCAGGGAATCGCTGGTGGCTGGGAAGCGAGAGAAGCCTGGTCCTGGGGCACCTGGGTTTCCTGGCATCTAATTAGGCTGGAGCCATGAAGGAGCTGCTGTCTCAGCCAGAGGAGCCTCCAGGGCTCTGTCTAATGAAGAGAACAAACTTGAATCGACAGAAGAGAGTTGTAGGCAATCACCAGGCCAAGGAGACAGACACTGGCTTGAGCTGGGAAGGATGGGAGAGTGGAATCAGATAGTTGTCACCGTAATGTCAGCCAGGATATCACCACAGCAACAGGGCCTATTGACAAGACAACTCATGGAGGCTTATTTGGGGGGTCTTGGAGGAAGCAGGTCTGGGAAGAGCTCCCTCCATCCCTACCAGAGGCAGAGGTGGAGCCCGCAGACAAGTCCCCACAGGGCCTCCCCAGTAGGGATGTGGGTCAAGCTGCCATCTCCAGCGCAGCCCAGCCCCTCTGCTCCCCTCCCTCTCCTGCCCCTGTTGGGTTCATGGCTCTGTTTTTCATCCCTGGGCTCAGAGCAGTGGCCGCTCTGCTCCCGGGCTCCCTATTCCACCACCCTTCCAACCCGCTATGCACATTCTCAGAAGCTGGTGCTTTAATTGGGGACTAAAAAGAGGAGGAGGTTATGTCACGTAAAGAAATGTTCATGCTAGTTCTTGTTTCCCCCTGGGGGACAGGATGGGGTCCCGGGCTTTATCTGGAGCTCAGACCAGCCCCTGGAAAGCAGTGGGGCGGAGGAAGAAGTGGGGGGTGTGAGCAGGCCCCGAAGAGCCAAGGCACCCTGGGGCAGGTGCAGGGAGACTCTGGGAAGGAAGGAGAGGTTTGGCAGGGTCTTCAGAAGGAACAGGGGAACCAGGGCCAGGTGCCCTGGAGTCACACGCAGTACCGGAGTCCCTGCCCAGGCCTGGCCCCACAGTTCCCGGCATGCAGGGAGCCAGGCTCCAGGAGGCCATCCATGAGCTGCCGGGGGGCCCACTATGTCCTCGCCAACTCCAGCCCCTGGTCCACCTCTTTGCCTTGCCAGCTGCCCTTGGACAAGTCTGGGAGGCCCTCTGAGGCTCAGTCTTTCCATCGGTACTGCCCTGTCCATCTCCAGGTTAGCCATGAGGGTCCAGTCAGGCCATGAGGATGAGGATCCTTTTGTTCCCAAAGGTAGCCAAGCTCCCGGCCTACGGAAGGCACTCAGTAAATGTTTGCTGCATGAATGAATGAAACAACAGCCCTAGGAGAGGCCATCAAGTATCCCTGGTAGCAGGAGCAGTGTGAAGGCTCAGACAGCCCCTGGTTGGGACTTGGAGGGTGGGTACAGTTGCCATGGGAACATGTTAGATCAGCAGCACCCCCAGGTCTCTGGGACTAGGCCTTGCATATCTAGAGTGACAGCCTACCATGCCCAAGGGAAGGCCAGGTGGCTGGTGAGCCAGTGGCTGCCTTATTGTGGGGTACAGGGGGAGGCCCCTGGGGTCAGGGCAGGGGGACACTGAAAGAAGAAGGGGAAAGTGGTCATGTGACTTCCCAAGGGACCCCACTTCCCTCCCCCAGAAAAATGGCCAAAAGAAGGTACAGTCCTGGAAAAGTGAATGTGAGGATTCATAGATTTAGAACATATGTGTAGCTACTAGCCCGGCTGTGTGTTCTGAGTGCCCAGGTCTCCCTCCAGCTCCAGGGCTCAGCGCCCCATCTGGACCCGGAATCTGCCTCCCACCCTGAGCAGCCTTTGTGGCTCTGCATGAAGAGGTGATGCTGGGTGACCGCTGGGTGACTGCTGGGGATCCACGTGGCTCTAACTCGTGCCTCGCCCCCTCTTGTCCCCTCCCTAACCAGAAAGAACTCGCGACTACAGTTCAACAAAGTGAAGGTGGAGGATGCTGGCGAGTATGTCTGTGAGGCCGAAAACATCCTGGGGAGGGACACGGTCCGGGGCCGGCTGCACGTCAACAGCGGTAGGTGGCCCCCCAAGGAAGGGAGGGTCCCTCCAGGAGTTTGGGGTGGGGGGGCGGGCCAGTTGTCCCCCAGCCCCCTGGAGGCCTGCACATGACCCATCTTGCACTTGACTCCCCTCCCTCCACTGCTGCCATATCAAGCCCTGAGATCTGGGCTGATTCAGAGAAATGCAGCTGAAGCATAAATGTTTAGTTTTGTTATCTGGGCCTGGAAGAGCCGCCAGCTCTCATTTTAAATACCCTGAAAACTAAATATTTTGAAATCAAGAGATGGGGGTGGGGGAGGATATTTTTAGAAGGCAATTATGGGAGGCTGGGCTGCCAGGAGTGGGGCTCCAGAGAGAGGCAGGCCTGTGGCGTGTGCAAGCTGACTGTTGCTTTGCTGGGCACCCCAGTGCAGACAGCCATCTCCTCATGGCCTTGGGTGGGGGGAGGCTTGGGTGCCTTGGACCCTTGGGGTCAGCCTCTGTTCAGGGATGGCAGGCCCTTCTCCCTTGAAAACTTGCAAGATCAGGAGCCCACGCACCCTTACTCCCCCTGTCCATAGATGGCCCCAAGTTCAGTGTGGAGGCTTCCGCCCTGCCAGGCTGTTTGGAAAGCAGCCCACGCTGCCTGTCTCCACTCTAACCCGAGGACTCCAGCCCCCAGAGGGTCTCCACAGAGCCCCTTGCTGCTCCTGACACCCGCAGACTGAGCCTGCCATTTGGCGACCTGGTCATTTGGGTCTGCTTCCAGGCTGCTCCCAGGCCTGCGGCGGGCACCAGGTCTAATCCTGCACATGCCCTCACCCCCTATGCTGCCACCAGACAGCCCTCCAGTACTCCCCCAGCCCAGTGCCATCTAAGAGAACTCGGAACATTCCGGCCCTCGGGCCCTCAGAGGCGAACATGGCTCAGACCCTGTGTGTCCTGCCTTGTCCCAGCCTCTCCAGCTACTCTGCCTCCCTTGCCACTATATCCCATAGGTCTGAGTCTCCAAGTCCTGGTCAGTCTTCTTTCTGGATCTTTCTCCCACCTGACCCTGCCACATCAACCCCCTCCTCGGGGGCAACCCTGGTCCAGGTTTCATCCCTACTCACTTGAACCTGAGCAATAGCATCTTAAGATGCTTTCATCCTTTGCCCCGACCCCGTGGAGTCTCAGAACAGGGACTTTGTCTTACAGCCCCATGGGCACCGATCCAGCCCCAGCCGTCTTTCCCACCCTGTGTGCAGTCAGCCCCCTATGTCCCCTCTCATTCTTCCTCCCGTGCTGTCCCTCTAGGCAGCCGTCCTCCCGACCCCTCCAACCATGGCAGGGACACTCCCTGCTCAGGCCCCCCTGCCGGGCCACTTCTTGACCAGCTGTGGTCTTGTGCATCTGTTGAATTTTATTAGATCATTCTTCAAGTCTCACACTGTTGCTGAATTTCTCTGTGGGTGTGACCTTCACAGTGGAATCGTGAGCCCAGGAGTAGAGAGGCCAGGGAGATGCCCTGTCCCCAGGAGCTACAGTGATAGCCGCTGCTTACTGATACTATGCTCTGTGCCAGCCTCCGCACTGTCTCCTGAACCCTGACTCAAGCCCGTGCTGTATTTTATAGATTATGAAACTGAAGCTCTGCAAGGTTAAATATTCTGCCCCAAGTCAAACAGCTGGTTAATGACAGAGCTATACGATGTAAAAGTAGTTGGCAAACCCTGAGCCGTGAGCTGCACGGGGCTGCGTCTAGCCTGATTATCACTCTGGCCTCAGGGCCTTGCACAGTGCCTGGCTCATAGCGGGCACCTAATAAATATAATAGAAAAGCTTACAACCTGCTCTGAGGCCTGTACTGATTCCCACATGCCCCAGCCTGCGCATGGTTGCAGTGGGTGTGCCTGGGGCCCCCACTCCTCCCAACCTGTCCCAAGCCTGGGGAAATGGACCGTGCTGGGGGTCCAGCACCTTCTATCTTCAGCCATAATGGGCAGACATGCTCAGGTCCACTTTAGACTTAAGGTTTCCTGTCTTATTATTCAAGACTTTCTTGGTTAGAACTGACAAGAACCCAACTTAAAACTACCTTAACAAGATTTTTTTTTTTTGGTTTATAAAACAGATGTCCAGGGGTAGAACTGGCCCTTGACATTACAGAGCCCAAACACTCAGAGAAGGGGTCAGGATGCCCTCTCCCATTGTATGCTGGCCTCTTTCTTTCCTGCTGAACAATGGGCTTCTCCCACACTCGGGGAATGCGTTGGGAAGAGGAGGCCAGGGCCCCAGACAGTGCCCGGTTTATATCATCCCAGCCTGCCGCCCAGGGGAGGAGAGCTCTGGCTCTGGGCCTTCTCATACAGTCACAAGGATGGAGTCTCCCTGACCCTGCTTAGGTCACGTGCCCTGCTCAGACACCATGGTCAGGGGCATACGGGGAACTCCCCTCGGCAGAACAGGTTACTGGGAAACAGAATACCCTGAGTGGTGGTCCCACCAGACCACACGGGGGCCTCTTCCCTAGAGAGGTGCTGTAGCAGAGAGAGAGAGAGAGAGAAGGGCAGCCATGCCGGATACCACAGTGGCACCCTCTCTCCTGCACAGGGCTTGGGGCCTGAGGCTAGGACCCTTGTGAGACCCCTCGGAAAAGCCACAGCCCCACCCCACCCATGGGCTCCTGCCAGCCCTCAGCAGCCTGTGTTTGATCAATTAGGAACCAGACAGTGGAGCTTCATGCTGAAGGCTTCCCCTGGGCCCTCTGGCCTCTTGTCCCTGCAACCTGGTGGGAGAGCAGCAGGCCAGAACCGTGGGAAGGGTCCAGAGCTTTGCTCGTGTCCCACCTGTGCCGTGCAGCCCTCAACGAGATACTCCACCTCCCTCATCTTCGATTTTCCCATCCACGGCTAAGCTAGATGATCTCTAAGCCCCTTCTCTTAAACTTCTGGAATTCTGAGTTTGATGTTGAGGCTGGCATCCTGTGCACCTGGCTGCCACCACATACATGCACATGCACACACACGCCACCTCTTCCGTTGCCCTGTTCTGTCCACATCAGGCAAGAGCCTACCTTGACAATCCTACCCTGCCGCAGGGGACCGGGAGCCCCTGTGGGGATGTTTTTCCGGGCAGAGATGCCCAGGCTCCTGTTTACCCACAGAACCCAGAAGACCTGCAGCAACCACACCCTGAGGAGGGGGTGGAGGGCAGGTAGCGGGCAGCTGTGCCAGCCCCCCTCTGACTCATCCCACAGTGGGTTGGCTTAGCCCCACCCAGCCCACAGGGAGACAGGGCTACAGGGGTGGGGCGGCCAGAAGAGGGCAGGGGAGGGTGGCACTGCCTGACTACTGCAGCTCCATTCTGGAGGAGCCCGGTGCTCTTCCCCGAAGTTAGAGTGGCCCTTCTTGCAGTCACAGCTGTGCCAGCTCGCAGGAGGCTGCCTCCCAGTTCCGGCTGGGAGCAAGAGGAGTCGGCATGACGTTTGTGGTACTTTCAACAAAACAAGCCTGGTTCAACCCACTTCTGAGTTAGAGAAAAAGAGAACCTGGGACTGTCCTAGGGTGGCATGCCCCTCCCAGGATGTGGGGCTGGGCCTGGCTTTGCCCCAGAGGGCAGGCACATTTCACCCCTGGAGAGGCTTCTGGGCCTTTCCCTTACCTGGGGGCCAACATGGCTAGCTGTTTAATCCCATGTGCGCACACACACACACACACACACACACACACTCACTCTTACGTATATTCAACAAGACCCTACTCAGCAAGACCCTGCTCTGAATAGTCTGGCTCCCAACAAAGTCCCTCAAATGGCAGGAAGCTAATTCCTGAACTCAAAGCATCTGCTTGTACTAATGCACTGGAGGAAAGGCATCTTTACCACCAGAAAAGGGGCACACTGGGCAGGTGGGGAGGCAGCTTCGGCAGATGGCGAGACACTGAGACACTTGATCTGGGTCTTGGAAGACGAGCAGAGGTTGCAGCTGCCAAGCAGAGGTTGCAGCTGCAGGGGCTGGCAGCCGGGGCAGCCCTGCTCCGCCTCTCCTCGGGGCTCCAATGAACTCACTTGCACCAGGACTCTGATGGCTGATAGGGGCCTCCTGGGTTTACCTGCCCAGGCACATATTTAAATCAACTTTTTGGAGGAATTATTTATATATCATAAAATTCACCCTTTTTCAAGCATACAGTTCAGTGGTTTTTAGTACATTCACAGAGTTGTATAACTATCACCACTAATCCCAGAATATTTTCATCTCAAAAAGTACCCTTGTATTTATTAGCAGTCACTCCCCACTTGTGCCCCTCCCAGACCCCTGCAACCACTAATCTACTTTCTATCTCTATGCATTCACCTATTCTGGACATTTCACATAAATAGAAGCATACAATATGTGGCCTTTCGTGATTGGTTTTTCCACTTAACATAATGTTTTCAAGGTTCATCCATACAGACCAGTCCTTTCCTTCTCATGGCTACATAATATTCCAGTATGAGGCTATACCACATTTTGTTTATCCATTCATCAATCTGGGACATCTTCACATTTGGGCTATTATGAATAATACTGTTATAACACTCAGGTACAACTTTTTGTGTGGATGTATGTCTTGGGAATATACTTAGGAGTGGAATTGCCGGGTCATATGGTATCTCTGTGTTTAACTTTTTGAGGAACCCAACAGATTGTGTTCAAAGTGACTGCACCATTTTACATTCCACCCCCCAGCAGTGTAGGACAGTTCCAGTTTCTCCATGTCTCCACCATCTTGTATTATCCATCTTTCTTACTATAGCCATCCAAGTGGGTGTGAAGTGGTGTCTTACTGTGCTTTTGATTTCATTTCCCTAATGACCTCCCAGGAACGTCTGCCTTTAATAGGAGACAATGCTGTAGTTTGCAGAAAAGGTATCATCATCGGCCATGGAGACCAGACTAGCCTCTGGGATGGTAGCAGAAGGTACCTCTCTCTAAAGAATCAGATGTTCATGTGTTCATTACAAATACTTGCATATGTTTGTTAAGTACCTACTACATGTCAGGCATTAGGCCCAAGTGGAGCTTATGTTCTAGTGGAGGGGCTAAGCTTTAAACAGCTAGTAATGTACACTAGTCATTTGCTGGTGTTAGAATAAGTACTACTGGGACGAATGTGCAAAGCTGAGGCCAGTAGCCAAGGAAGGGCCTGAGCAGCCCTCTGAGACGCTGATATTTTGAAAGGCCTGGACAGGGAGGCACCTAACTCATTAGAGGAGTTGGACAAGCCAGTGTAGTCTGAACATACTGCAAAGGAGGGACAGGACATGAAGTGGGAGAGGTGGTAAGGCCCAATTTAGACCCAGGGAGGAGTTGGGGGACTTTATTCTGAGTACAAATGGAAACCTTTGGAAGGTTTCCGTGATGGAAGTGATTGGTCAATTTACATATTTTAAGACCATTTTGGCAGATGCAAAGCAAAAAAAATTAGAAAGGAAGGCAAGAGCGAGGGCAGGGAGACAGAGAGGAAGCTACTGTGGTCATCCCAGAAAGAGACCACGGCTGCTGGGCCTGGTGGCAGTAGCGGGACATGGACAGAGGCTTGTGAGGCAGTAGGAAGGCAGCCCTTGGTGACAGGTGGCTGAGGGGACAAAGGATGATGAGGAGTCAAAGGTGCCCTCAGGGTCTCCAGTGTGTGCCACCCAGCCACTGAGATGAGCAAGACTAGAGGGGCGAGTGGCTAGGGCAGGTGACCGTTTGCTGCGTTTGGGGTAGCTTGGAGCCATCCCACTGAGGGGTCAAGGGCACGGCCACCTCTCCAACTGGGAGTCCTTATGTCCTCTTCACTTCCCCAAACACGGGAGGACACAGTGAAGAAATAGGGATGTGCTGGTGAGTCGGTGAGGACACGGGCTGCCTTTGGGAACCACATGTGCTGGAATAGTATGGGTGATGCACATCTGCAGTGTGGGGATCTTGCTGGCATGAGCCTCACCAGCAGCAGAGATGGGCTGCAGTGCCTGGGAAGACCTGCCATCACCGGGGGTGGCTTCAAAGCACTTCTTTCTGAGGTGGGAAGGCCTGTGGTCGCCTCTCCCCGCACCTTCTGTGACTGGCTCCCCCGTTGCCCTCCCTTTTTGCCTTTCAGGGGCCCCAGCCTAGTCCCGATAATGACATAGTCCCGTGCACCCCGGCTAGGGCCCCATCTTCCTTCAGGAGCTGTCCTCTGCCTCCCGAGACCTTGATGAGCACAGACATGCATGTGGATAGCCCCAAGTGCCTTGCTGGGGTCCCTGCCACCATCCTGGCTGCTATTCGCTGCCCACTCAGCATGGCAGCAGGCAGTGTCTGCCGCCTGTGATTACAGAGGGAATCAATCAAGTTGGCTTGAGATTGCTCTGGCTTAGCCGAGGCCCCTGAGAGGACGCACCTCACCTCGCATCCCCCTGCCTGTGTCAAGCCTTCGTGCCGATGTGTTCTCCCAGGAGGCCCAAGGTGGCCAGTGAGAAAGCTCAACCTGAGGTCCTGTCCCAACACTCACTGTAACTGGATAGACGCCTCTCTGCTCTTTCCTCGCTCCTCCCTGGCAGCCTGACTGAAACGCAGAGCAACCTCTCGGGCCCTCCCAGCAATGGAATTTTACAACCCACAGGCGTGGTCACCACAGCCGTTTCTCTGTCCCTTTCTAGTTCCCTGGGTCTCACTGACCTAGAGGCAGGCAGAGACCAGTGGAGGCCTCCTGTCCCAGCCAGCAAGTGGGTCCCAGCTGGAGGTGGGGCTGAGCAGAGGCAGGAAGCAGCGGCAGGGGCGCAGTGTGAGGATGCCAGAGCAGCAGCCAGTGCTGTGGAGGGGAAGGTGGGAGCTGGCCCTGCCCGCTGGGTTTTATCAGTGAGCTCCTCAGACATATACAGAGGCAGCGCTGTGTATACACTCCCCGTCCCCGCGCTCCATCTGTCTCCCTGCATGTCTAAACACTGGGGGCGCCAAGGGCCTGCCCCCTCCTCCTCCGCTCACCTCCCATTACTGTGGGGGGTGGTAGACACTCAAAACCCCTGAGGAACCAGGACCAGCCAAGGTGGATGGGCCACCTGGGCCAGGAGGTTACCCAGGTGGGAGTGAGGGGCTCTCAGAGCCCCCGAGTCTGGCAGGGCACAGGGCCCCATGCTTGGCTGCCCACTCTGCAGCCACAGTGTGGGGATGATGTTTGGGGCAAGAATTTTCACTTGAAACCAGTTCTTTGGATGCCAGCCCATGGGGAGCAGAGCTTTCATTATTTTTGTTTATCAGATGGACCTGGGGGAGCAGATACACAGTTGGGCAGAGCCCGGAAGCCTAGTCTTGCTCTCACCCAGTTCCCCAGCCTGGCCTCTCCCTCACCCCGCTCTGCCCCAGCGACCCGAAGCCCGGGATTCATAGCCTGGACTGGCTGGCCACGGCCTGGAGGCAATGGCGACTAGCTGGGAGAGAAGGGGGCTGCCTGGGTGCTCCTGGAGACAGACCTGGCCTTTGTAGCATTCCTGGGAGGCTTGTCCCCCCCACTGCCCTCCACGGGACCAAGTGGAAGAGATGGCAGCTAAGGCCTTCCCCACATGTCCCTAGGTCTTAGAAAATGATAGGGTTCAAAAGGTGCCACCCCTTTGCCGCCGTGAGAGCCCAAGCAGTGCCCCTGGGTGCAGATGTCTCCCCCCTGCACCACTGTGACTTGCTTCCCCACGGAAGAGGTGGCATCTCATCCACCTGCAGTGGAGCCCCCAGAAAGGCAGACAGGTGGGCAGAGGTGAGCCCTTATTCCGGGAGACAGGCTAGCTGTCTCACCCCCACCAAAACCACGAGAAAACCTGCCTGACCTTTGGATGTTTGCCCAGAGTATGGACACAGCGTCATGCTGGGCAGGTGGTCAGAGCTGGCAGTAGCCTCCACTTGGCCTTGTTGGTGATGGGGAGGGGTCACTAGACCTCCCCCCGACCCCACGCCATTCCTGCAGTCTGATCTAGCTTTGAGATTGGCCATGAACGAGATGGTTCCTGGGGCTCAGGGCCTGTCTCAGTGGGTCACTGGCACATGTGTCTCATACCTCCAGTGAGCACCACTCTGTCATCCTGGTCGGGACATGCCCGGAAGTGCAACGAGACTGCCAAGTCCTATTGTGTCAATGGAGGTGTCTGCTACTACATCGAGGGCATCAACCAGCTCTCCTGCAAGTAAGTGGCCAGTAGGGGTGGCATGGGGGCAAGAGCAGGGGAAGAGAGGCTGGGCAGAAGTGGAGGGCTCTAGGAGAAATGGGCTGCAAGCCACTAACAAGGGGTCCCCAAGGGTGCAGACAAGGGGGTTTGTCTTACTTCCTAGCACTTCCCTGGGATACAGGGACACTTAAGCTCTAAGGGGCTCAGGGCTCTGCAGCCCCAGTTTCCCGGGCCTTTACACACCCATCTCCTGATGTCCACTCCTTCACCAACACCTTTTAGGGAGATGGCAATGCCAGTCTGTGCCCTCAGCATCGGGCACTGGGTTCTCTCTCTCTCTCCCTCCCCCTCTCTCTCTTTGTTTCTTTCTTCCTCTCCCCATCTCTCAGCAACTCTCCAAACTGTTCTAATGAACATTTCTGAGGGTGTGTCTTGCCTGGCAGTAAGGAGCCCGGCACAGCCATGAGGAGCACAGGCCCCACAGGCCCTGGTAGCTGAGGTTCTGCTCTAGCCTCAAGGGGCAAAGTCACCTCAGTACCTGGCTGCTCTCCCCCTAGCAGGACCCACTGTCCAGATATGGTGCCCTGGGGGCTGCCTGCACCACTTCAGTCCCTAGCCCCTCCCTAGGCAGTGACAGGGCACCAGCAAGGACACCCCCCTGGGCATGGCCCCGTGTGGGAGGTCAGGGTGCAGGAGAAGCCCCAGCAGAGGCTCCTCGGCTTCCCCAAGGGCCAAGCCTGCCCCCCTAGCGCCAGGGCAGGTGGGAGCAGAGTCATCAGAGGGCTTGTCAGGCCCTGCCAGATCCCTGGGCAGCGGGGCCCACAGTGCCCCCTGACAGATTCTCTGCTGGGTAAGCGGGGTGGGGGGAGCTTGGTGAGGAGAGCACATGTTCTGGTGAGACCCTGAGGAGGACTGGGAGGGGGGGCATCGTTAACAGCTTTGGGCTCTGGCGAGGTGCCAAAGCTGCCCCATTCCCATGGCATCTGGGCGAAATGTCCCACCAGAATATGATGGAGATTCAGGGAGAGGCATCTGCCCTCCCCTCAGATGAGGTCAGATCCAGCACTCCCTGGCCCTCCTGCCCCTGGGCCCCAGCTCCGGGGATGCCTCCCCCTCCTGAACACAGCCTTGGCCAAGGCCCTTGCCTCCCAGCGTGGTGAAGGGGGGCCCTGCCTCCTGCACCCGCTCCCCTCAGTGCTGGCCTAGCTGGCTCGGACACCAAGCAGATCTGTACCTCTTGCCCCAGCTGGCCTCCTTGGCTGGCTTCCTCCCTGGCCCCACCCTTCACCTGCTGCCCCCCTCTTCCTGGCCTCCCCCATCCTGGATCTCAGGAGGCAGTCCCATTATCACCACTAATCCCAGAATATTTTCATCTCAAAAAGTACCCTTGTATTTATTAGCAGTCACTCCCCACTTGTGCCCCTCCCAGACCCCTGCAACCACTAATCTACTTTCTATCTCTATGCATTCACCTATTCTGGACATTTCACATAAATAGAAGCATACAATATGTGGCCTTTCGTGATTGGTTTTTCCACTTAACATAATGTTTTCAAGGTTCATCCATACAGACCAGTCCTTTCCTTCTCATGGCTACATAATATTCCAGTATGAGGCTATACCACATTTTGTTTATCCATTCATCAATCTGGGACATCTTCACATTTGGGCTATTATGAATAATACTGTTATAACACTCAGGTACAACTTTTTGTGTGGATGTATGTCTTGGGAATATACTTAGGAGTGGAATTGCCGGGTCATATGGTATCTCTGTGTTTAACTTTTTGAGGAACCCAACAGATTGTGTTCAAAGTGACTGCACCATTTTACATTCCACCCCCCAGCAGTGTAGGACAGTTCCAGTTTCTCCATGTCTCCACCATCTTGTATTATCCATCTTTCTTACTATAGCCATCCAAGTGGGTGTGAAGTGGTGTCTTACTGTGCTTTTGATTTCATTTCCCTAATGACCTCCCAGGAACGTCTGCCTTTAATAGGAGACAATGCTGTAGTTTGCAGAAAAGGTATCATCATCGGCCATGGAGACCAGACTAGCCTCTGGGATGGTAGCAGAAGGTACCTCTCTCTAAAGAATCAGATGTTCATGTGTTCATTACAAATACTTGCATATGTTTGTTAAGTACCTACTACATGTCAGGCATTAGGCCCAAGTGGAGCTTATGTTCTAGTGGAGGGGCTAAGCTTTAAACAGCTAGTAATGTACACTAGTCATTTGCTGGTGTTAGAATAAGTACTACTGGGACGAATGTGCAAAGCTGAGGCCAGTAGCCAAGGAAGGGCCTGAGCAGCCCTCTGAGACGCTGATATTTTGAAAGGCCTGGACAGGGAGGCACCTAACTCATTAGAGGAGTTGGACAAGCCAGTGTAGTCTGAACATACTGCAAAGGAGGGACAGGACATGAAGTGGGAGAGGTGGTAAGGCCCAATTTAGACCCAGGGAGGAGTTGGGGGACTTTATTCTGAGTACAAATGGAAACCTTTGGAAGGTTTCCGTGATGGAAGTGATTGGTCAATTTACATATTTTAAGACCATTTTGGCAGATGCAAAGCAAAAAAAATTAGAAAGGAAGGCAAGAGCGAGGGCAGGGAGACAGAGAGGAAGCTACTGTGGTCATCCCAGAAAGAGACCACGGCTGCTGGGCCTGGTGGCAGTAGCGGGACATGGACAGAGGCTTGTGAGGCAGTAGGAAGGCAGCCCTTGGTGACAGGTGGCTGAGGGGACAAAGGATGATGAGGAGTCAAAGGTGCCCTCAGGGTCTCCAGTGTGTGCCACCCAGCCACTGAGATGAGCAAGACTAGAGGGGCGAGTGGCTAGGGCAGGTGACCGTTTGCTGCGTTTGGGGTAGCTTGGAGCCATCCCACTGAGGGGTCAAGGGCACGGCCACCTCTCCAACTGGGAGTCCTTATGTCCTCTTCACTTCCCCAAACACGGGAGGACACAGTGAAGAAATAGGGATGTGCTGGTGAGTCGGTGAGGACACGGGCTGCCTTTGGGAACCACATGTGCTGGAATAGTATGGGTGATGCACATCTGCAGTGTGGGGATCTTGCTGGCATGAGCCTCACCAGCAGCAGAGATGGGCTGCAGTGCCTGGGAAGACCTGCCATCACCGGGGGTGGCTTCAAAGCACTTCTTTCTGAGGTGGGAAGGCCTGTGGTCGCCTCTCCCCGCACCTTCTGTGACTGGCTCCCCCGTTGCCCTCCCTTTTTGCCTTTCAGGGGCCCCAGCCTAGTCCCGATAATGACATAGTCCCGTGCACCCCGGCTAGGGCCCCATCTTCCTTCAGGAGCTGTCCTCTGCCTCCCGAGACCTTGATGAGCACAGACATGCATGTGGATAGCCCCAAGTGCCTTGCTGGGGTCCCTGCCACCATCCTGGCTGCTATTCGCTGCCCACTCAGCATGGCAGCAGGCAGTGTCTGCCGCCTGTGATTACAGAGGGAATCAATCAAGTTGGCTTGAGATTGCTCTGGCTTAGCCGAGGCCCCTGAGAGGACGCACCTCACCTCGCATCCCCCTGCCTGTGTCAAGCCTTCGTGCCGATGTGTTCTCCCAGGAGGCCCAAGGTGGCCGGTGAGAAAGCTCAACCTGAGGTCCTGTCCCAACACTCACTGTAACTGGATAGACGCCTCTCTGCTCTTTCCTCGCTCCTCCCTGGCAGCCTGACTGAAGCGCAGAGCAACCTCTCGGGCCCTCCCAGCAATGGAATTTTACAACCCACAGGCGTGGTCACCACAGCCGTTTCTCTGTCCCTTTCTAGTTCCCTGGGTCTCACTGACCTAGAGGCAGGCAGAGACCAGTGGAGGCCTCCTGTCCCAGCCAGCAAGTGGGTCCCAGCTGGAGGTGGGGCTGAGCAGAGGCAGGAAGCAGCGGCAGGGGCGCAGTGTGAGGATGCCAGAGCAGCAGCCAGTGCTGTGGAGGGGAAGGTGGGAGCTGGCCCTGCCCGCTGGGTTTTATCAGTGAGCTCCTCAGACATATACAGAGGCAGCGCTGTGTATACACTCCCCGTCCCCGCGCTCCATCTGTCTCCCTGCATGTCTAAACACTGGGGGCGCCAAGGGCCTGCCCCCTCCTCCTCCGCTCACCTCCCATTACTGTGGGGGGTGGTAGACACTCAAAACCCCTGAGGAACCAGGACCAGCCAAGGTGGATGGGCCACCTGGGCCAGGAGGTTACCCAGGTGGGAGTGAGGGGCTCTCAGAGCCCCCGAGTCTGGCAGGGCACAGGGCCCCATGCTTGGCTGCCCACTCTGCAGCCACAGTGTGGGGATGATGTTTGGGGCAAGAATTTTCACTTGAAACCAGTTCTTTGGATGCCAGCCCATGGGGAGCAGAGCTTTCATTATTTTTGTTTATCAGATGGACCTGGGGGAGCAGATACACAGTTGGGCAGAGCCCGGAAGCCTAGTCTTGCTCTCACCCAGTTCCCCAGCCTGGCCTCTCCCTCACCCCGCTCTGCCCCAGCGACCCGAAGCCCGGGATTCATAGCCTGGACTGGCTGGCCACGGCCTGGAGGCAATGGCGACTAGCTGGGAGAGAAGGGGGCTGCCTGGGTGCTCCTGGAGACAGACCTGGCCTTTGTAGCATTCCTGGGAGGCTTGTCCCCCCCACTGCCCTCCACGGGACCAAGTGGAAGAGATGGCAGCTAAGGCCTTCCCCACATGTCCCTAGGTCTTAGAAAATGATAGGGTTCAAAAGGTGCCACCCCTTTGCCGCCGTGAGAGCCCAAGCAGTGCCCCTGGGTGCAGATGTCTCCCCCCTGCACCACTGTGACTTGCTTCCCCACGGAAGAGGTGGCATCTCATCCACCTGCAGTGGAGCCCCCAGAAAGGCAGACAGGTGGGCAGAGGTGAGCCCTTATTCCGGGAGACAGGCTAGCTGTCTCACCCCCACCAAAACCACGAGAAAACCTGCCTGACCTTTGGATGTTTGCCCAGAGTATGGACACAGCGTCATGCTGGGCAGGTGGTCAGAGCTGGCAGTAGCCTCCACTTG